CTCGAGGGAATGCTCGAGAGGAGGACATTTGCGATAACCGCTGGGTTCTCTCTTCAATCCGGAACGCTGAAAATTGAGTGGGTATTCGGAGCTCCCGGGCGGAGACGCACTGGGGATCTGGTGAGGAGTGAAAAGTCTGCAAGCGGCTGAAAAGATAAGTTTGCTCCTTAATACCACGAGTGCAATAATGGAAGTGAGAGGGTAAAAGAGAGAAGGGTGGTGAGGAGGGAAGAAAGCATAAAGCAGAGAATTATTATAAAGTATTAGGAGAAAGGAGAAAGTGGTGGGGAGAAAAAATAATAATAAGATCCTATAAAATTGAAATATTATAAATACTGAGAACAAGACACAGAGACCTGCTCCCTAAAAAAGGGAAAGATGAAGTCAAAAGAAAGGGAAAAGGGAAGAAAGAAAAGGGGAAAAGAGAAGAAAAGAAAGGAGGAAAAGGAGGAAAAAGAAAAAAGGGAAAGGGAAAAGAAAAAAAGGAGAAAAAAGAAAGAAAAAAAAAAGGGGGGAAAAATCTTTAAAGAAAACAAAATGGCAACCAGAAAGCCACAGGAAGAAAAGAAAAACAAAGAAAAAAAAGATACCATTACTGACAAAAGGCTATCAGGATATTTCTCCCCTCCCCCAAATAAATTCCAATTGAATTCCGAAAATCAGGATAATTTCCCTCCCCCCAAATCTAACTCTAATCCCTCTCATGTTGCACAGGCAGGTAAACCTCTTACTGAAGAGACTCTAATTAATTACCTGGATAAATTTCAGGAGAATATTAAAGAAGACATCCAAAAAGGATCATTGGATTTAAAACAAGAATTAAGAAGTATTAAAGTCCAATTGGAATCCATAGAGTCTAAGATGATGCAAACTGATTTAAAATACTTACATATAGAGTCATTAATGACAGATCTGCAATCTAAGGTAGAACAATTAGAGGATAAATTAAATGACTTGGAAGATCGTTCCAGGAGAACCAATATAAGAATTCGTAATATCCCTGAACAAATTAACGACTCAACATTGAAAAAATTCCTAATGGAATACTTTGAGTCGGTATTATCTCAAGTTTGTTTACAAGATTCTGAATTAGAAAGATTCCATAGGTTACCTAGACCTAGAAATGTGGCAGAATCATCACCAAGAGATGTAATTGTTAAATTTCAATCCTTCCACATCAAAAATCAAATAATGAGTTCTTTGAGAAACAATCCAGTCATGGAAGAGAGATTTAAGAACCTGTAGATTTTTCCTGATTTATCTTTTCATACAAGAACATGGTGGAAAAGTTTTAGTCAAGAACTATCCATTTTAAGAACTAAAGAAGTGAAATACATATGGGGATTTCCCAAATGTCTCAGGATCTTCTGGAGAGAAAAAAATGAAAAATTTACAACTCTGGATGCCTTGAGAAAATGGATGGAAGAAAAATCAATATCGGGTGCAACATAATTACGGATAATAACTAATAATTGAAGATGCCTTGAAGCCGTCCGGATGAAAAAGGACAATCATAATTACATTTTTTTTTTTTTTTTTTGAATCACGATATCAAGATAGGGTGTGGGTGGGGGTGTAAGAATTGATAGAGATAAAGTAGGGGTAGGAGATAACAATAAGTTAAATTTAAAGAACAAGTGTTGGTATAAGAGGAAGTCGGATTTATTGGTAATATGTTTAAGAAGTATGGTAAGAGTTAATATTATAAAGGGATAAATTAAGCATACACAGTGGGTAAATTTATAAAGTGTCAGGATGCAATAGTAATACGTATAAGATGTATGGTTGGATTTAACACAGTAAAGGGATGGATTTTTTATACACAGTAGGGAAATTTATAAAGTGTTAGGATGTATTGGTAATTCGTATAAGAAGCACGGAAGGACTCAATATAATAAATGGATGGATTTTGTATACACAGTGGGGAAATATATAAATTGTTAAGGATTATATATAAAAAATTATTATTGGACCTAGGATGTATGGTTGGATTTAACACAGTAAAGGGATGGATTTTTTATACACAGTAGGGAAATTTATAAAGTGTTAGGATGTATTGGTAATTCGTATAAGAAGCACGGAAGGACTCAATATAATAAATGGATGGATTTTGTATACACAGCGGGGAAATATATAAATTGTTAATGATTATATACAAAGAATTATTATTGGATCTAGGATGTAAAAAACATTTTTTTTTTCTCGCTCTTCAAAAGTAGCCACATGAGATAGTAGGGTGTTCTTAATAATAAGGAATATGATTTTCGGTCACTCTGATGCTATATTGCCCCACCAAGTGTCATCTTTTTTTGTTGACACAAATACCGTGATTTGGTAACCAAATATATCATCTTACGAGGACATAGATGGCCCTTGAGGGGTGAGTCGAGAGATAACCACTCAGGAGCCAGGCTGTGTTGGGCCAGACTGGGTGTTTCTCCCATAAGGCTATTTTTGGTCTATGTACAATGGACTACTTGTGTTTTATGTAAATGCATTGCAGCTCTCTTGGGGTCAGTGGTAATAATGTCTTTTGATTTAAAATGGTAAAGATGATTTCGGTTAATGTCCAGGTACTAAATTCTCCAACTAAAAAATCTCTAATATATGATTATATGTTAAGAAATAAAGTGGAAGTAGGTTTCTTTCAAGAAACCCATTGGATAGATATGGATAACCAAGGTTGGGGTGGTTTAAAATTGGTTTAAAATTAAAATATGATTAATTATGACTATTTTGACTTATGGAGAACGATCAATCCTGATTCATTGGAATATACGTTTTTTTCACGTGTACACTTATCGTACTCTTGAATAGATATGGTTTGGGGCAATACAACAGCATTAACGAATACTAAATATTTTAAGATACTTGATAATACCTGGTCAGATCGTAGTATTAATATGTGGGAGATGAAAAACCAATGGACCAGGATTAGTCGTGATACTTGGCGTATGGACGATAATTTGTTAAAATCTAAAATCAATCTTGATATGCTGGAAAAACAAATAGTAACTTTTTTTCTTGAAAATGATCCAAATGATACCTCATATATAAATAATTGGTGTGCATTTAAATCCACCATGAGAGGTAACATAATAAGTATACAAACAAGATATAAAGTAGAAAACAATAAACTTTTTCTGGCACTACAAGAAGAATTAAAAAAGACTGCAATTAAGAATAAGCAGTCCCCCTCTAAAGAAAATGCAGATGATCTGAAAAATATTCAGAACAAAATTAATAATTTCCTTATAGCAAAGAATGCAAAACTTATGAATAAACTTAAAGCAAATTATTATTATAAGGGGAGCCGAGCAGATAGAATTATGACTAAAAAACTAAGAGATAAAATTGGATCCAGCAAAATAGTAAAGATAGTGGATGATGAAGGGGTTTATTTGGACCCAAAAAAAATAGGCGAGAGATTTAATAAGTATTATGAGGCTTTGTATAATTTAACTCCCTCGATAATAAATGAGGAGGACTACTTGAGTAAAATTAATACACCTAAACTCACAGCAGAACAAAGAAACAAGCTAAATACTTTGATTACAGTTCAAGAAGTAGAGGCAGTAATAAACAAGTTAAAATCAGATAAGATGCCAGGCCCAGAATGCTTTGCAAATATATTCTATAAATCTTTCAAAAATCTTATAGCTTGCCATTTAACAAATATGTTTAACGAAATAGTGTCAGTTGGTAAATTTCCTACCGAAATGTTAAGAGCAAATATTCTCCCAATTCTTAAAGATAATAAAGATCCTTTAAAGGTGGAAAATTATAGACCTATCTCCTTAATCAATACAGACGTTAAAATCTTTTCATCAGTCTTGGCCCATAGATTAAAGGGATTTATGGATAATATAATTAAAAATGATCAAATCGGTTTTGTACAGGGCAGAAACCCAGTAGATAATTCTAGAAGATTATTGGATTTGATAGATGCATCTAGAAGAAATAAAAAATCTTTATTTATATTGGCTGTAGATGCCGAGAAAGCTTTCGACAGGGTCGGTTGGGACTTTTTAAGGAAAACTATGGAAAAATTTGGTATACAGGGAAGGATGCTTAATGCAATTTTGGCACTATACGAAGGTCCAAAAGCAAGAACAGTGGCCCCAAACATATGTGCTGAGTGGTTTACACTAAAAAATGGAACGAGACAGGGCTGTCCTTTATCGCCTATTCTATATATTATGACAATGGAGATTCTAGCTATTAATATAAGAAATAACTCTCAAATCAAAGGATTTAGATATAGAGAGAAAGAATTCAAATTAAATCTATATGTGGATGATTTGATTTTGACCCTAACCGACCCTGTCGAATCGCTTAGTGCTCTGATGGAAGAGGTAGACAAATACAGTCTGTTTTCAAATTATAAAATAAATGTAACTAAATCTACTTTTTTAGCTATAAATATTTCCAGGGAATGTAGTCTACATATTAAAGATAAATATAAATTTAATTGTAATAAAAATACACTATCTTACTTGGGAATAATGCTTATTGATGACTCAAAAGATACGTTGCAAACAAATTTTTTGAAAATATTCAGATCAACACATGAGTCACTAAAAAGATGGAGACAAATTGAACTATCCTGGTGGGGTAGAATCAATCTGGTTAATTCGTATTTACTCCCTAAATGGTCCTATCTATTTTGTATGATCCCCTTGAGAATGCCACAACCATGGTTATCTATGATACAACGAGATATAAATAACTTTATATGGAAAGGAAAAAGGCCGAGTGTAATGGACATGGGTTTATTATGGTCTTATTCATTAGAAATCACTTAATACAGTTTATTATGTTGAGTGCCATTTTAGAATTGTACCATTAGGGGGAGTAGTGAGCACCTTTTTGGAGACTTTCTTTGTCTGAGCCATGCGGCCAAGATGGATGCCTGACTCCTCCCCATTCAATGGCACACAGGGATTGGGTAAGGAAAGTCACATGCTCAGTCCCTTTATAAGGTGAAGCCACGTGCTGGAAGGGAACCATTCTTTTTCCAGGCTGAGCATTGAACATCTTGCAGCTGGCAACTGATAAGTATTTGTATCGCTGTTTTTATTTTTAAGTTTAGTTTTATTTTAGTTAGTTTAGTCTTATTTTATTTTAGTCTCATTTTAGTTTAGTTTCATTTTAGTTTAATCAATTATTATTTGGTGGTTTGATTAAACGGAAAATCATATTTTTTGGATAACATTTTGGTAGGGCAAAATCATTTTATTATACAATGGTTGATGTGTATTTAGCATTGTGAGATTATTGCAGTTAAGATTGTTGTAGTATTGCATTGTTAGTTAAAGTATATAATATTTGACAACTGTTTTATATATGTGTATATATAGTTTCTTTATGCATGTATATTAAACATTATATATCTTTTACACAACTACCAAGGTGTGTGTCAGTTTGGATATTAATTGTTAAATCATATCTCTTCGAGTGTACATTCTTTTTGTTTTTTTTTTGTTTTTTTGGGTAATACTTTCAGGAGAATGTTATTTGATTCTAATTGTGATGCATGCCACATGTGACTAACTCCATTTTTGAATAGCCCACATGGTGAGTAGACTCCATTTTGGATTCATCCTATTTCATTTGTACTTTGGGAGCAACATCTAAATTATTAAGATATACCAGTTAATACCATATCTGGTATTAATTTAGATATTTGGAACAATTAATAAAATTCTCAGTATATTAGCGATAATTTTCCGTTTCACCGAGGATGAATAAAAAACTTTTGATGCAGAAGAGTAGGAAAGGAGGGATAAATTTTCCAAACGTCAACATAACCTATTTAGCCAATATGATGTTTCATATATATAAGATGCAACTATTAAGTTCAGAGGAAGTGGGTTGGTACCAATTAGAAATTGAGATGGTAGAAACGGAAAACCTATATCAATTAATTTGGCTAACTAAACAAGACAAAAGAATCAAGAAGGTCTGTTCTTCTAATAATTGCTTGAAATCAATTCTAATGGAGTGGGAAAAGTTGAGGATTAACAGCGGAATATGCAATAAAACACTGGAAAATTCTAACTTTAGTATTATACAATTAAGGATGAAAGATTTAAATGTAAGTGAATGGACAGGGAAAGGTATCAATTCTATAAACCAAATAGTATCGGGAGATAAAATTAAACCATTTGAAAATTTGATACAAGAATTTTCACTACCTAGGAAGGAGTGGTATAATTATTTAAGAATTAGAGGTTTTATTAAACAGTTTTTGTTACATCGACCCACAGCGGGTATAGAAAACCTGATAGCTTTATTAAAAAATGAGAATGTACCGCAAATAGTTTCAAAGGCAAGGACTGCTCTTCTTCAAATTGAAGCACCAAATATGAATGTAAACATTCAGAAATGGAGTAAAGAGCTAAATGTACAGATTCTCAAGTCTGAATGGGATCAAGTATTATTTCAAACAAGTAAAATAATCCATTGTCTGAACCGTCTTGAGGTATTATTTAAATTAATGAACCGCTGGTATTTAGTTCCCACCAGATTGTCCAAAATGTATACTTCTAATTCTTTATTGTGCTGGAGATGTAACAAAAAACAAGGGACTTTTGGACATATATGGTGGGAATGTAGTGTCAGGTATAGTCTGACATGCATTCCGCCGTAAGAACCCACTTCCGGGTTCACGGCGCTTAGCCCCGCCCCTTTCTCTGACGCGGTCCTTCCGCGATATTTAGGAAGACCGCGCCAGATTTAAAAGGCTGGATTATTGCACAGGTGCCTGCAAAGTGATCAGCTGCTTTACCTCGCTCCTGCCTGTATCGGACCTCGGCTTGCTAACAACGGACTTCTACTTTCTCCACTCCTACCTCGGCTCACTAAAACGGACTCCTACCTTCTCCACTCCCAGACCCGGCTTGCTAAAACGGACTCCTACCTTCTCCACTCCCAGACCTCGGCTTGTTAAACGGACTTCCACCTTCTCCACTCCCAGACCTCGGCTTGTTAAACGGACTTCCACCTTCTCCACTCCCAGACCTCGGCTTGTTAAAACGGACTTCTACCTTCTCAACCATCGGGTGAAATTAACCCCTTCAGTTCCAGTAACTGCCTTTTAAGTTAAGTAACTTTTCTCCAATCAAGCCACTCTCTGTTACAAATCATAGACAGTTATCTATGACATTCTCTCAATTTATTCTCCTTATTCATAAGGATCTGCTAATAAGGCTAACACTTCCTCCAATAATCAAGTCATTTATAATTACAACTTCTCCTGCTTCATTAATAGTCTTTCTTATGAAAATTCCTTCTTAAATTAATCTGGAATCTAACTCTGCATTATTTCTAAAAAGGAATTAAGTGTATTGTGCAAATCAACAGAGTCTTATACTTTATTCACAATTAACATCCTACATGTGTAATTAAAGTGACAGTAACCACTCCTTCATATCAGTATAAAAGGAGGTGAAACTATCAGTTACTGCAATTAGAATATTCTGCAGTTGAGTTCCAATTAAAATAAGTGTTACATGTAGTAAGGTGAAAAATCTGTGGTATATGGCCTTCGAATCATTGGAGTACATTACAGAAACAAACATCCCTAGAGGCCACCATAATGGTCTATTCCACTTAAATTTACAATCACTCCTTTTTAAAGATAAGTTTATATATGTCCACTTTGTAGCAGCAACAAAAATAATAATTGCAAGGAACTGGAAGAGTAGTGCAAATTTTACACAGGCCCAATTATACTCACAAGTTCAATATCAATTAACTATGGAGGCCTTGGGATACCAGTCAGTAAAAATTAGAGATGTCAGTAATTTTTGGAAGGAAAAAATGGAGAGTATGGTCATATAAAGTCCTGGACAAAATAAATAGAATATTTTTTTTAAGGTAACGGAATAGAGGTTCCACTGATACTCCCCAAGTAGAGTTTGCAATGCATAATAGTGTTTGTTTTTGTATGTTTGTTATGTCTATCACATTAATGAAGGCACATAAAGTTAACTAATTAAGATAAGATAATATAATAAGAGAATTAGGATGATTTATACTGATAAATATAATGCACTTTAATCTTAGAGGAAATGCTGGATTAAAATTCTGGCATGATTGGTGATCCTGTTAGTATGGTATTTGGATTAGTTTTATGTAATAATATTTTTGAGTACAAGATAAGGGGAATAAGCACTAATACAGGAATATGACAATGTGTAAGTTATATGTTTCATCCAACCGGAGGTAAATGTCTACATTCTTTTTTTTAATATTCATTATTGTTGATGGCAATGTCTTGTATTTCTTTATAAGAAAAATGAAATACATACATTTATAAATAAAAACAAAAACTTTTTTCACTGTTATAGATTGAATAGCAGTTAGTTGTCTTCAAGCGGGTGTGTCAGGCCTACAGCGTGTACTCTGCCAGTTCACAGTGCCACTCATATCTGGTGTCACAATAGCTTGCATTTAAAAACAAAAAACTTTTTTCACTGTTATAGATTGAATAGCAGTTAGTTGTCTGACAGCGGGTGTGTCAGGCTCACAGTGGATACTGTGCCCAGTGCCACCACTCACTCACTGGTGTCACAATAGCTTGCATTTTAAAACAAAAAAACGTTTTTCACTGTTATAGATTGAATAGCAGTTAGTTTTCTCAAAGCGGGTGTGTCAGGCTCACAGTGGATACTGTGCCCAGTGCCACC